TGGAGTTGTTTTGTCTCTATCTTAAGACGAAAGGTACATGCTGCGTTATCTAACCCAGGCTGCTCCTCACAGAACATTTGCCTGTTGCGTGACGGCACAACGGAGCACGCAAATAAAACCATCGTGGGCATCTGCAGCCGCACCGCGTGACTTTCTCAGTGGACGGCTGCGGCAAGCGGCAGAGCTGCCAGGGCTACCGCAGATGAAAGGTCACCGATGTCTGAGCCACAGCCTGCAGGACTCATTCTTTAAAGGTTGCTTTGGGACAAATCCAAAGAAATTAGTGGGATCCAGCGGGGCCACCCCTGTTGGGCTGCCCATTGCTGGTGTCAGTGAATACCAGGGACAATCCGCTGTGCAGAGCTTTAGCAACAAATTTCTCCCATGCCTCAAAAGGCAAGTGTAGAGCAACACCACAGGGTGCCTTAACGCCACCAAACCACAGAAAACTCCATATTCTGCGGTCCTCTCCTAACCTCCCCATTCCTGTGCAAGGAGTCGTGCTCTCTCCTCCGTTGCTCCGGTGGCCATGGCTCCTGCCCGTGCCAGGAGCAGCAAACACGGGCGGGGAAGATTCACTTCCCCACAGCAGCAATTTCCACACACTAACTGGGACCACATTAAAGCTTCCCCCAGCTCCACTCCTTGAAGTATGCTCAGATATCTTTGCTGCCAACAGCTCACTGAGACTCACATGCTCACAGCGAGGAGGTACGCGATCGCTTTATCCAAGGGAGGTTAGCTCCAGTGGCAAGCACGTGGGAGAAAGTAGTTTCCAGCACAGGCCTGGGAGAAGACAGATGGCTTAGGTACCCTTCTCAGCTAACATCCAAGACCCTTCTTTTCTAATTCCCTCATTTACCTTCCTGGTTGCCCTATCAGAAAGCTGGGCTGCACCAAGCACAAGCAGAGATGCCTTGGGGACACCCAGCCGTTGCTTCCACAGTCATGCCTTCATTCCACCGCACCACCATCCTCCTGCCCACCTCCCTGCTATGGCCACCACCCTCTCCAGCTTTGAGAAACCCAAAGCCAAACAGCAATTCCTGCTCTGGCCACTGCTCCCAGGGTGACTCCAGCTCCAGCGCTGTGTCCCCAGCCAGCTGCATGGGCAGAGCTCCCCTGGGGCCGGACTAGCTCCCAGTAGGCAACTGCACTGCATCCAAGGGTTTGTTGGCTGCATCCCACCCTATCCCCTTGGTTTTCCAGCTCCTCCAGCTGAGCCACACAGCCCCTTCTGGACAGAAGTCCTGCGGCCTCAACCCACGTCCTCCTTCCTGGGAAAGGAGTGGATCCTCCTCTGTGGCTGACAGATGGCCCACCCTGTCCTCCTCCACACCGCCCCCTCCTCCCCATGCACACTCCCTGGCCTCCTTTCCTTTCACATCCCGAAATCCCAGCTACAGTGATTCCCACACCGGATCAACTACTGAACAGCAACAACCTGGGGTCTCGAGAATGACCCGCATCTCTTCAGGACAGCCAGGCTGGCTTCCTGGCATGGAGACTAAATCCCACTGAAGGTTGATGGTGTTCAACTGGTCCCTGACCAGATTTATAACTGGACTCTGACTAGGTTTATAGCTACCCTATGGAAAAGTCTACACTGCTGGTGACTGCTCCTCACAGAGCTGCGGGCTGTACAACCGACGTAACGCCCAGCACGGCTGCCCAATGCACAAAAAGCAGGCGCTTCAGCTGGAAGCAAACCTGACCTTCTCTGCTAACGGTCAAGCCATGCAAGGCCCTGCCAGCGAGCGAGATCCTGGCGCTGCCCAGGGATCGCCCCACCACCCCACAGCTGAAGGATTTCTGGCTTTTGTCAGTTGCTTCACAACTCAGGTGAGATTCAACATTTAAGAGCCACCCTCACCTTTGTTTCATTGAAAACCTCAGTTCTCTCCCTTCTTCGAGCCTGGACTGTCATGTGATGGGTACGGGTTTCCCTGGCAGGGAATACAGCCCGTTTTGCAGAGCGCTCCTGCACAGGCCCGGGAAGCAAAAAAAACACTGCTGCCTGCTCCCTCTGCGCACGAGCTTTGGGAGCCACGGGGGTTTCTGGATGCTCAGCCAGCGCGGAGCGTGGCCACCCTGCCTGGGCCACCAGCCAGCCGCACCGCCTGCACCCGCCGCACGCTGAGCTGTGGCGTGCGCAAAGCCCAAACGTACAGCTGGAAACCCGTACACTGGGGACGCCACAGCTGAATCTTTATTTTGTGACAATTTTTTCAAAATAAAGCTCACTGGGACTATTTGCCTCACTAACATGCACGGGCAGGGGTCTCTGCATTCAGCAGTGCTGCACGGTATGTAACACAGGTGAAGCCTCCAGGGGTTCAGATCCCCAGGCTGAGGGCTTGGCAGTGAACGGCAAAGGATCTGCAAAACATACCTTTGGAGGAGGGAGGTCCGGCAGGCTCTTCTGAGGAGGGGACGAATGAAGTCCTGAGTCTCCATTGGTCAAGGAGTTTCTCCGATCCAGCCCTGCAAGCCAGAAACACAATTATATCGACGGCACGTGGCGTTTCCCAGCAGAGCACTCGCTACCCGGGGCTGTGCAGGAACAGGGAGGTGATATTTCAGTAGGAAGCAGAGTGACAATTACGGGCAGCGCCGCAGGGCCACCATGTCATTTCAGGCCATACCCAGCAATGTGGCACTTGGAGACCCAGCAGAAGAACTGGCCTCTGGCATTTGGGCATGTTTTTCCTTCCGGAGGGAAAACTCTGAGGCTCAGACACATTGCTGAAACTTTAAGGGGTGTCGAGAATCACAGAATCACAGAATGTTCGGGGCTGGAAGGGACCTCTGTGGGTCACCCAGCCCAACCCCCTGCCGAAGCAGGGTCACCTACAGCAGGCTGCGCAGGACCCCGGCCAGGAGGGTCTTGAATATCTCCAGAGAAGGAGACTCCACAACCTCTCTGGGAAGCCTGTTCCAGTGCTCCGTCACCCTCAGAGGGAAGAAGTTCTTCCTCATGTTCAGATGGAACTTCCTCTGCTTCAGTTTGTGCCCGTTGCCCCTGTCCTGTTGCTGGGCACCACTGAAAAGAGTCTGGCCCCATCCTCTTGGCACCCACCCTTTAGATATTTGTAGGCATTTCTAAGATCACCTCGCAGCCTTCTCTTCTTCAGGCTGAACAAGCCCAGCTCCCTCAGCCTTTCCTCGCAGGAGAGATGCTCCAGTCCCCTCACCATCTCTGTAGCCCTCCGCTGGACTCTCTCCAGTAGCTCCCCATCTTTGCTGACAACACATGGTATCTGGAAATCCACAGCACTTTAGTCCTTGCTAGCTCTGATCCCTGCTGCTGTGAGCAGACAGATCCGTAGCGGTCCTCATCTCTGCTGGCTTTCCAGAAAACTGGAGCTAATACCACCCCGCTCCCAGAGGGAACTGCAGAGGTTGCTGCCTAGCTGGGCTGCAGGACGGTTTATCAAAGCCAGCCAAGAACAGTAACTGAATTGCTGTCAAAGGAAGAGTGGCTCTTGAAGCAGCCCAGGCCAAACATGTGAAAGGGCACATGGCAGCAGAACTGCTCCAGGTGATCCATGTCTGCCTCTGGAAAGTCAGATTTTCCAAGCAGCTGAATGCAGAGTGATTCAGTAGCTGCAGGGTATGTCGAAGCCTCAGAAAACTTGTGCTCCTCACCACAGATCGCATGGGTGGCCTCACACAAGTGCCCAAATCCCACGACCTCCGAGACAGCACAATGCAGCAACGCTCAGGAGCAAGTGGGAGCAAGGCCCCAAATGGCTGAAAAATTAAGGACTTCAGAGGCGTTCTACTGTGCAGAGGAGAAGTCCCCTTTTACAGAGCGTCTCTTGCCAAATGCTTTGGGAGAAACGAGGCTAAGGTATCAGATATTGCAAGTCCAGTATATTAAAAGGGAACTGGGTCCAAAATCTGCGGCGAGTGGATGCTCGAACTCCCTTCGTCACCTGCTGATGCTCCAGCCACATTCCTCGGGCACAGAGAGAAACCAGCGAGGCACCGTGCAGTGCCCAGCAGCGGTTAGCACTGTGCTCAGAAGACGCGGGCGGGAACGTTGCTGCATATTTCTGGGCTTTAAAAATAGAAGCTGGAAACCACATCACTTTGTTCACGTCTGGGGCTCGGAAGCCACGATGACAGCTCTGCCCTGCCAGGCTGCAGCCGGCTCCTGGCCCGCTGGCGCACGAGCTCAACGCACATCTCTTGTGACAAATTGCTCTCTGTGATGCAGGTCTCCTGGTCATCAGCACTGGCTGGCTTCAGTAAGCCAGGAGGACATGGAGACCCACGGATCGATAGACACCAACCCCAATCAGCTGTTTGCACCTTGCAAGTAGGGCTGCTCGATGTCTTGTAAGGTTCAAATGGAGTACAGCAGATGAGCCAATGTCACAGACTGATCATGGGGAGATCCACCTACCAAAATACCCCATGATTATACTGCCAGAGTCATATCTACAGGCTGCTGTTGGAGACGGGCCTCTTCTGTAAACGACCAAGGAGATGGCGCTCTCGGTAGACACCTTCCATCAATAGCAAATGCTGAAGCCATTACTGCTTTTGGAAACACCAGAAATGAGTCTGAGATTTCCTAAAGCCCCAGTGGGCTACTACCCAAGAGGGGATTATCTCCACACTCACAGCTGCCAACACAGGGAACTTTTTAGAGGCCTCCTTAGCAGAGAGAAATGGGCAGGCCAACTCACATCCTCCTGCCCAGGCAGAACCTCCCATGCTCAGCTCCACAGTAGGGAAATCATTGCAGCAGCAAAACCCACTGCCAAACCCTTCACAAGTGGTGGCCATCTGTTCTCCACTCTCCAGCAAACCTAGCAATCATCCCACTGAACCTCACCATGCCAGGAAAATGCTGTTTGGTTTCTGCACCAGCAGTTTCTCCTCCTCCCACCAACCCTGGAGCAAGGGATGGAGACCACAGCTTTGGTCCTCACCCTGCTGGAAACCTGCCCACCTGCACGGACACATGACCACGTACTCCAGCTGAGAAGCAGAGCAGGATGCAACAGAGCTTTGATTTTCAGGACCTGACGAGACCCCTGGGAGATGTTACGAGGTTTTCTGTTCTGAGGTTGCAGAGGGGAGCTATCGCTGCGCCCAGCATATGGGGACAAGCACCTAATGCATGTTTCTGGATGGAGAGCCCACACAGCATGTGCTGTACATCCCCCTTCCTCCTCCTGCCACACACGTCAGCACAACAAATCACAGACTCTTTCCTTAATCAGGGTGGGAGGGAAGCAGTACTTTTCCCTAGACAAGCATTAACATTTTGCAGGTGTCTTCTGATAAAGATTTCTCTCTCTCAAACCTGGAATCTGGAGAGAATTTAGAAGAGGGAAGGGAGAAGAAAAAACAGCTAAAAGCCTACGAAAATGTGCATCTGTACTAATTGTTCTTTATCTGTGCCCTCTGTTCCTTGTAAAAGCGAATCCCTCCTGGTATTTGGGCTCAGAGGACCGCAGCGGGCACCACCAGGAGCCCTACACTGCGCATCCGTCCCACCCCCCAGATGCTCGCACCTCGATCCCTCTGTGCTGACTTCCAGAAGGAGATGGCATTTGGCTCACTGGAGTCCCACGGATTCACAGGGTAGACACTCGCTGGGTTTCTTGAGTAAATGAGATCAAGTGAATGATGGTGCCTTCGTCGCTCACTGCAGCGAATTCAATTACCGTGCCATAAAAAGGCATCTCGAAAGCAGCGTACCGTTCAGCTTAAATCAGGAGGAGTGAGTGAAATATGGTTTTTGCAGAAATAGCATGTTTTAAGGTTTGGAGAGGGGACTTTTGGAGCTGATGTATTATCACTTCAGAAAGCATTTCACCCCACACTGCTAGAGCACACTGAAGCACAGCTATGGCGATGAAGAAATCCCACAGGCCATGAGACGTCTGTGGATAAGAGGGGTAAAGGGAGCTGCACAATCACTGGGGGATCCAGATCACACCCCCTAGCATCAGTGGGTACTAGAGCCCCCTCCACCTGCTAAAGCTGAACCTGCAGGTCCCACTTCTGACCAGGCAGGCACAGCTCTCTCCGCGCAGTTACAGAGGCAGGATCCGGGCTGTACACCCAGCTGCAGCTATGGCTAAGATCCCATACATGTGTCTCACTGACTTCAGCATTTCCAAATAACTCAGAAGTTTTACTTGGAATAGGGAGGTTGTTAAAAGCAGAGAGAGCGAAGCGCCAGGTCCCACAGGGAGCAACTGAGTGGGTAGGCTCATGGCCTTGATAGGGAAAAGTCTGAAATAAAAGAACCAACTCTAAAAATACATTGTCTGAAATTTGCCTCCGTGTTTCAGCATGGTGGATCAGTGCAAGTCTTGTTTTATCCACCCAAACAAGTACTTAAGAGAAGTTTCTGTCGCCGCTCAGCCGCCGGGAGCTAGCGGGAGGCTGTGCAGTCCTGTGACGGAGCATTACAGCATCACCCAGAGGGCCCCCTCTGGAGATCACGCCAAGGCTGCACGTGCAGTCTGGGAGGACATCCTGTCTTCAGGAGCATTTGAAGTTAGCCTAAGTTCAGCTGCAGGTAGTTTAAAACACAAAACAAACAAAAAGCCCCAGCACAAAACGATAAAACCAAAACAAACAACTCTGGACATGCAGCTATCCCAGCTACTGCAGGAGCAGCACGTCAACAGCAGGCTGCACTGATGCATCCTCTTGTCTCACCTACTTGGATCGGAAATCGTGGGGCAGGGGCAGCCTCTGACTATGTGTGCATGAAGGAGATGTGGGTCAGTAATAACCTCACTCTACGCAATTATCAAAAACAGCCTTTCTGATGAACTTCAAAGAGCAAGGACGCTTTTAGAGAATTATGCTCTTTCCCACATTACAAATCTGAAACCTGGTAAATCTAAATTGGAAATGAATATTTTATCTAGGTATAATTTCTTGGCTTGTACATCGCAGAACTCTTGCCTCCCCTTGGAGGCGAAGGTGCTCTGCCCATGCAGATGGCGAGGGTGCAGGCTGCGCCTGGGAGCTCGCCTCGCAAGGCTGTGACGACGCAGACCCCCTGGGCTCGTACAGAGCAACGTGCTAAAGATGGCACATGCTTTCAAGGTCTCAGAGAGGTGAAGTGAGATGTTTTGCGGCCAAAGGAAACATGAGGGCTTCCTTAAATATTGCAGGCACTGGAGCTGCAAGCCTTAGAAGGCAACATTTTTATTCCAAAATAATGCCCTCCAAAGTGCTACTTCCAGGAATAACTTCACGGTGTTGGCAAGGACCATGATTTCCAAAGGAATGTAATGAAAATGGCAGTCCTTCCACACCATCAACTGCCTTGTCCCGCAGAGCTGCCAGAGGGGCCTCCGCCAGCCCAGCAAAGCAAGGCTCTGACCACACACACCTTCGTTGCCCCGTTAGATATGAGGCAACCATTAATCTTCAGGTCCTCACCTTTGTCTTGTTTCTCCTGGTCACCCTGCTGTTTGTGGATGGTCACTTTGTTCATATAAATATATTCCTCATCGCCACCTGCAACCAAAGGGAAAAGTGAACTCTTTACTCACCCGCTGCTTTCAGGTTGTTAAGTTTTTCCACAAAGACAGATGTAAAAAGTGTCTCTGCTGAGTACATTTTGGGGATAGCATATTGGTTGAGGCCATGTGCAGAAAAAACCCCAAGCAATAATAAAAAGCAGAAAAATTAAACGCTTTATAGACAGGAAATTCCATAAGTTAAAATTTCTACTTAAACATTAACTTGGCCAAACAGTACATCCTGTGTATCTTACAAAGTGGATTAAATAAACTTAAGGTTTAATAAGGAAAACAGAAAGTATGAGGAATCTTGGGAATCCTTTGCTTGTAAAGCTGGACACACAACTATAGTAATTTTACATAAACAACTAGAGGTCACTGCAAAAATAACCTCTTTTCATTTTGTCCTTCTAATTTTCATGTCTCCCCTTCCCGCCAGCCTCCAAGAAAATGTGGCTTCAAGACCCTGTAGCAGTTCCCACGAAAGCCCACCACCCTATCCTTAGTTTTCCTTGGCCATACCGCTGGACTTGGTGTAGACCCGCAGAAGGTCAGAGAGGAAGCTCTTCTTCACAACGGCAGTGCTGCTCAAGTTCTCCTTGTCCAGTATCCTCAGAAAATCTTCAAGTTCTGTGAGCAGCTGCTCGAGAGCTACGACAGCAACAGAGACAACTGTTGGCAAAGCAGTTGGGTGACATTTCAAAAGAAGATATACGTTAATTCTGAATTTTCCAAGATCCTTTAAATTTTTCTACCCAGGAATAATCGATATTTAGTTTTCCAGCTTGAATCTTCCCTCTAGTTTTGAAAAGAAAGTGGGTCCCAGAACCAAAAATGCTCCAGCTTCCCTTAGTCTGTTCATACACCAGTGAAATCCCATGTAAATATCTATTACTTTTCCTGTAGGACCTTTTGCTCAAAGGGGGGAAAGCCTGAAAGGATTTTGAGCATTAGGGCTGAGATCACACAAAAGCAGCTAGTAAGATCTTGATGCTTGAATCTTCAGTCCTGGCAAACATCATTCAAACCTCATCTGGATTTGGATCTACCAAAGACTCTGCTTTCTGGTTCCTCTTTCCAAGCCTCCTCCTTATTTCTTTGCCTGTAATGATTTGAAAATGTTTATGCGTGTCCCTCAAAAACAGACAAGGAAAAAAAAGCACGTACATAATTCAGAATTCAGCAACTTCTCAAGCTGTCTTGCTTGGGGAGTGACCACAGAGATCACTGTACCACGTGGAACTGCAGACCCAAGACTGCGCAGCATCTCGGAGACCCTTGGGAAGACCTGCTGTACCAGAGACATCCCTGCACACCCGCAACAAGCAGCTCGGACCCACTGCTCCCCTGTACCGACGGCGCAGCCAGGCTAGTAAGTTTGTTTTCCTTCTGGGGAGGTGCTGCTCAGCTCTGCCACCAATAAATCACTTCTCTGACAGGACTCCCGCTGAAGCAGCAGGCGTTCAATTGCTTGCTTTTGTTCACACTGAAGTTTACCGTGGGCTAATTAGCAGCAGTGGCAGGAGCCCGTTCCAGGGAGGAAATAACAGAGCGCTATGTGGAGAGAGGAAGAGCTGCGCAAGCATGATGGTCTGTGGGAAGAGCATGGAAAACCCCGCCAGTTCCTCCCCTTTGGAGGCTCCCTGCTACCCCACTCCATCGCTCCCTGATGCAAAAGAGCTGCAGGGGAGACAGGCAGCAAATCTTGAGTTTGCCACCACCAGGCTGCAAACCAGGTTGTGACTCCTCGCACACCACCAAGGAACGTGACCTATGGATAATGTGACTGGGGCAATGCTCCCTTCCCTTTACTTACAGCACTTCCTTGCTGTGTGTTCCCATGGCACCCCTGTGAGTCACAGTACACACCAATGAACCAGAAAAAATGTTAATATTTTGGTTTCATAGGGTAAAACATCTGAAGCACATCTAGTTTCAGTGCTACCACCTCCAAGGTCACAAAGAACATTTGTAGAAGACCAGGAAAGAGTCATCACCTTCTTACCCCCTCATCTCTAGCCACCAGACAGCCCTTCCTCAGGTGAATACATGTTAGAATATTGATCAATAAAGCACAAATTACACCGTAAAGGTTTATGCTGACCTTATAGCAGCCTTTCACTACCTGAAGGAGGCCTACAGGAAGGATGGAGAGGGGCTTTTCACAAGGGTGTGTAGTGACGGGACAACGAGGAACGGCTTTAAACTAAAAGGGGGCAGATTTAGATTAGATATTAGGAAGAAATTCTTCACCATGAGGGTGGTGAGACCCTGGAACAGGATGCCCAGAGAAGCTGTGGCTGCCCACTCCCTGGAAGTGTTCAAGGCCAGGTTGGATGGAGCTCTGAGCAACCTGGTCTAGTGGAAGATGTCCCTGCTCATGGCAGCGGGGTTGGAACCAGATGACCTTTAAGGTCCCTTCCAACCCAAACCATTCTATGATTCTATGTTGTTAGCCATTCATTGAAAAACACGCTACCATTCTCAGACTGCATTAATCTTCACTAGCCTGACTGTAAAACAGCTTAATGACTCCAGATCAATCAATAATGGCTCCAGAGGAGACTACCAACTGGTAGTTCCTCACACTTTTGTTTTATACCCTCCACACCCAGTTAATTCTCTTCTGGTCTGATTTAGGACCAGTAGGGAATGGAAAACGCCTGTATCACGCTGTGTTAACTTCAGTGGTTTTGCTAGCTGCTGTTTTGCCCAGCTATAAGCCACTGCAATCCAGAGAAAGCAAGAATCACTTCAAGAAACAGCAGCATTTTTCATGAACTGTAAGGAAATGGGCAGTATTCGGTGACAACAATATTAGATGCCACTGATCTCATTAAACAATGAACCGTGAGCATCTGGTGTCAAACACACTCATAACCAGCTTGTCTCAAGCTTTAAGGACCCCGCTGCTTCTAAGTTTAAGGAAACTCCACTGGCATAAATCACAGCCTTGCTATGCTCGCTCATCTGCTTCGGTGGCCCACTTCAGAAAATTTAAACTGAGGTCAGTTCCTTCTGGTCAGGCCTAAATATATGTTCCTCTTAGTTCATCCTAGTGGACAGGACATTTATGTGTCAGGGATGGTATCAGAAGAACCACAGCACAAAAAATACCTACTTTGAAGCTTCAGAAATGGGTCAGCTTCCAACAGCTGCCCGCATGGAAGTCACAACAGCACGTTTGCAAGGAAGGGGGTATAATTCCCATTCCCTCCTCCACCCCCATGACTGCATAAAATGACTTTATTCTTCTCCCAGGCATCCACAGCTAGCACATACACAGGGCCAAGCTCTTATGAATAGTGCAGCCCATACAGTAGGTTACATTTTCCAGCCCACCAAAGCTGAATTCAGGCTTCTAGTGATTCAAAGCAACTCATTTAGGACGTGATCCTGGGGCCACGGAGGTCAGTGGAAAGACTCCATCAGAATTCAATGGGTTCAGACTTCAGGGACTCAAGAGAGATTCATTTTGCTCTTCTTCAGCAAGAAGCAGCATTTAAACCATCTGCTTCTACGCAAGTATCTCTTTGATCTCAGCTGGACATTCCCAATCCAAACCTGAGACCTGCAAAAATAAACTACCATTGAAACAAATGTGACCATTCATTCTCTCATATCAGAAAGAGAACAAGCTAATACTTATCATAGTAATGAATGTGAGAAGTAAGAAGGATTCATACGATGGGGGTCTATAATTCTGTGCATGCAAGAATTGCAGCAGGTCCCAGCAGGTGAATAGGACGAAAACCAGCTGAAAGCCCATGTAAGTCAAACCATCTCATGACTTTGAATGCTGGAAACCACTGCTTGATCTCAGCGGAAGACCCATCCTGCTGTGGTGATGATGTGTACTGAACATGCTCGTGGCAAAACCAGGTTGGTGGTTGTCCACAGCAGCCTGAAACAAGTGGGTCTCCCTCCAAGATGCACTGTTTTGCTATTCTTATCTTAGCAGTTTAGAAATGAGCACATGTAAAGAGATGATTCCTGTAGCTTGGCTTGCTCTGCAGAGCAATAGTTACACGTTCAAGGAACTTGTTCGCAAAATCAAGTGGCTGTGTGCAGCAGGATGAGAGATCAGGAGTAGACAGAAGCCCAAGTCACAAGGCACTGCAATTCTCAGAGATGCTTTTAAGAAACCTCCTTCCCCAGCTACATTATTCTTTTCAAGTCTTGTAGCACTTCTTTGTGAACTCCCAATTACCATGTGACTCAAGTAATCTTTCTGGCACTATCTCAAATAAATACTTCCATAGCACTTGCAAAAATTCAGCCTACTTCATGGAAAACAGGAGACTACCTCTAAGGTTAAGATCAGCCCAGAAGAATTAAAAGACTTAGCTGAGGTCACTGTGAATACCTCTGCTGAATCCAGCCCAAGCCCCAGGGTATGCCCTACTCCATCTCCTTCCAAGGCATGGCCACACATATGGGGTACCACTAGACAGCGCAGCACAGGTCAGATCAGGCTGCTCTTCTCCACAGCCACTGGTATCAGTCACCAGATAAAACCAGAAGGACTTTGCAACACATGATGGGGAGTGGGGCAGGATCGTCACAGTCAATAGAAAACTTGGCTGCTTCGCATCTGTGGATGATCATCACTGAAAGGGTTGAACTTTAAAGTGTATACAAATATCAAGTCTTTACTGATGTAATAAGGACTTACCAGAGGTTACAACCAGAACTACCAGCTCCTCTTGCATGCACGTAAGTCGAGAATGAGAGATGTTCTCCCTCCTTTCACTCCAAGACCCTTTTTAGAGCAGCTCCTGGGCAGCCCTCTGACCAGAGCAGACTCTGTCTGAAGGTTGCAACTTTGGCTGCGGCAATAAGCAAAGCATTCCTTGAAACATGACTGATCTCTTTCAACGGCAGTTCAGTGGCAGTAGGACAGCACTGAAAAGGGCTTCTCTTGGCAGGGATCTATGGCCTTTCTTTGCAGACAGAAAGTCTCTTGCATTGCAGCAGTGTCTATCCTCGTTCATGCGAAGCTAGAGCCAAAAACGCAGCAGCTTGCAAAGCCCCCATTGAGGAAGCACATTCCTTGCACAAGAGCTGCCAATTTTGCCTGACACCAAGGTCACTGAAAGGTAAATGACCATTAAACTAGATTATAAAAGCCATTCCTACCAATAACCACTGATCTTTGTCATTTTGCTACAATAACAACCTATGTCTACATCTAATTACTTCATGTCTTGGCCTTATGAGGAAATGGAAAGACAGGCTCAGAATGAACTTTCATTCAAGTGTTTTAGTAACCACTGGGCAGGATTGTATTAGACTATTTAATCTAAATTAAATTCTTTATTTTATCAAGGTAGAGGGGCCCCAGCCACCGGACAAAGAACTGTAATAAGATACACACTAAAAGACAAACTCTTTACTGAGATGAGAGGTGAAAGATAAGGAGTATCATTTGCTAACAGGAAACTAAGGCACAGACAGATCAAGCGATTTATCCAAGGATCCAGGCATATTCTCCAGCAGATCAGGAATACAACCCAGTTTTCCCATGTCCCAGCCTGCAGCTCTCACTCCCGAGCCACCCCTCCTTGGATCCCGAAGCGCTGGGAGATTTCCCACCCTCCTGCCCAAAGCAGGAGCTGGGTTTGGGACTTTTGGCTTCACCCCTGCTGCGAGGGGCTGGGCTAAGCCGCTGGCGAACAGCACGGATTCTGGCACCCGGTAAATACCGGCAGCCTGCGGCATGCCCAGCTTTTCGCTTCACAAGCCTTGGGAAGCCCAGAGATGGTGACAGCGATTCCAGCGCTGTGATTCCCGCAGGTGCCAGAGGCCCCAGGAGTTCCCGAGGGGCACCTCGAGGTACCCGCGCATCCCCAGCCTCCTCCCTGCAGGACACCCCATGGCAGCCTGTCGGCCCCCGTTAGGGCAGCTGACGAACGCGCCGAGAGGACAGGCGGGCACAGAGACGGCATTCAGGCTGCTGAATAGCGATGCTGTCAGCGGAGCAGGGGGACCCGGCCCAGGCCTCCTCGGCTAATTTGGAGTCTTACAGTAACAGTCGGCCTTTGCAAGAGGGAAAAGTCGCCCACGATGACAGCTAGAGAAGGCCATTCTCCCCAGCTGTGAGGAAAGGCAGATGTGCGGACGGTGGCAGCTGTAACAGCTGGATGACCCTCTCGTGGGGCTGCCTCCCCAAACAGCAAAGCGCATCCTTCCTTGGGCAAGCCGACCCCCCTCACCCTGCTGGCTCCGGGGTCTGCCAGAGGAGCAGCGAAGAGAAGGGTACAGCAACGTGCCGGCTCCGGCTCCGCATGCAAAAGCGACGCCGGCAAGGACGCGTGGCGAGCGGCTCACCCAAACACAGCCCCAGGAAGGGGAGACATCAGTGCTGAACCCCAGAAGGGCTGCTCCTCCCAAACGCACCCCCAGCACGCTGAAACCCCACCAGCACTCACCCAGGCTGACAAGTGGGTGTCCTAGTGGACGACAGGTTGACCATGAGCCAGCAGTGTGCCCTGGCTGCCAAGAAGGCCAATGGCATCCTGGGGTGCATCAGGAAGAGTGTGGCCAGCAGGTCGAGAGAGGTTCTCCTTCCCCTCTACACTGCCCTGGTGAGGCCTCATCTGGAGTA